GTTATAGGATTTGGGATTGTAGAAAATAAAATGAGATATTTATAGAGAATGATAGTATACGATATCCTATAGAAGTGATATTAAAATATTCAGAACTTTTGAAGGAAAAGTCCTCAACCCAAATCCTTTTGGAGTTTTAACTAGGATACTATCTAGATCTGTGAACAAAAAATCATTGAAATTTGAGAGTTACACCTAGATAAGTTCCCTCGTAAGGTTGGATCATTGTCATTTTCTTTTATCAACTTGTCGAGCAGGAATAGAAAAATATTTCCAACAATTATATTCGTTATATGTTACATAAACAACAAACCAATTATTTTTATGAAATTTTCAAGTCGTCATCAAATTTTCTGCGGATTAATGTGGAATAATGAGGGAGATTTGATAAATGAGATGAAATAGAAGAAGTGGGTTGTTGAATATCGTTGGAATCTGTTGAGGAATGAAGATGAATAACATAATGTATGTTCGATAAGGGATAAATACTCGTTTTATTTTAAACTTTATATAGTTATCATCACCAAAAATGCCTCAATGTTTTCATAGATGAAAAAAAAGAATTGCATATTTAAGTTCCGTTATCCATAGATGAATAAATAAAGACTAGAAAGAATATATGAACCCATTCATTGTTACTAACGACGTCTTTTAATGATTGATTTCATTTTCTCTACATGTATCTATGCTCATCGAAAAAATTCTTCTAGGCGTCTATGGATGTAAACAATAAAAATGCATATTCATTTAAATGTTCATCTAAATGAAATCAATTTAGATTAGAACCGAACCGAAAGCAGGAAGGTGACGAATCGAATCGTGTCCATCTCTGGTTTCTATATTATCTTCTTTCGTTCCTATAATAAGTGGTAGAAAGAGCATCTAAACTAAGTTCAGGATGTAACATCATCCTACACTATAGTTTCATTTCGTTTGTTTTCTTCTTTGTCATACTTAAATTATAGTTAGGAGACATATTGATATTTTCCATAAAGTCATTTTGTCTTTTTCCTTCTGTCGATCATATAGACGATTCATATCTGATAAGTATTGAGTATATTTAAATATTTGGTATTGCAATGCATAACAACAAATTTATAAAAAAAAACCTAGAATTGAATTGTTACATCGTTTTATGTTTGTTGATGGATTTTTCTCTTGTAGATAATCGATCAGTTTTATGAAAAAGAAGTTTTGGTTAAATCGATTTATGGAGAAGCAAGAGATGAATGTCGTAGAGGAAAAAATCAGTTGATCATCTTATCAAGAATCGAGTTCAATAAAAAAGAGAACATTCGGGTGTAAAGAGCATAAAAGATGTCTGTTAACATCGTTATCAATTCGAATTTTGTAATGGAAAAGGTGAGATTAACATAAATGAGACACTAGCATAGAAAGAATGTGAACGATGTAGCTGAAAAAAATAAAAAATGATTATAGTAGAGATCGAACAGGTGGAGACGATCATTATCATTTAGAAAAGTCTTTAATAAATCTTTCCACTAAAAACAATAGATTGAATATTTAATAATGGATTCACTTTTTTCTTTAATTATTCTACTCAATAAACTGATTTAAAATAAACTTGGAAGCATCTAGAAATCTAAATCATTATCTCGAACAATTTATTCTTATTTTATACTCTAAAGAATATTTTCCAGCTATTTGTTCAATTCTATGCTTATCAACGAGAGTCTTTGAGAATGAGAAGAGCTACAAGAATAGAGATATATTTCATACTGCCTCCTAATACAATTATCGAATGGCAACTAGTAGTCAAAATAAGAGAGTGCAAGGTGACACTGTCTAGCAAAATCGATTAGATATGTCTGTACGGGTGTGAACAAGAACGATCCGCGCTCTTATCCACATCCATACACGCATAAAGATGAACTAACATAGTCAATTACACAGTTCTTCACTATTTCATCTTAATATTTCGTTTTTTCATTCGAGTAACTAGATTTAGTCTTCGACTCCTATTACATTTTATAGATTTCATTTAAAATTTATATTCACTCGCTTTTTTCATTGATTCTATTGGATTTTATAATAAATATTGATCGTTTTCTTATCTAATAGAATTAAATAAGAGATAAATATAATGTTCTCTCCTATCAAAACGAGAAGAATAACAACAATTCTTAACCTTTTGTTTGAGAAAAAAATCAATAAGACTAATGCATTGCAGATATTCACATAAGAAAAAACAAGAACATATTATAGAATTCTTTTTAGATACTATAAAACAGTTCACAGATATGGAAAAAAACTACCGAACGTAGCGGCTTCAATTTAGTTATTTCAGTTGTTTAAACTCTACCATTAACGGACTGAGATTTTTTCATAAACCATTCGACTTTTGTTAAGTTCATTTAAAATAAATTCGTTAAACGAAAGATAAAACGTCCACATCCACACCATATATTGACACTTCTAATATATATCCTTTATTCAATTCGACCATCGAATTACAACTCTATGTCACTCACATAGGATTATCATTCTTAGAATTTAACCTTTTTTCAAATATATTCTCGTCCTATCACAAAAAACAGTGGCAAATTTGAACAACTATGGATTTTTAAATTTGAACACTTATGGCCCTTCCTTTCTACGGTTAAAGTTTTCTTATTTTTTTAAATTGTCATTCGAAAGGCATATGCATTCTTTTTGAAAACTGTTTCCTCATTTCTTTTTTCCAATTGCAAGAACATAGAATAAGGTCTCTAATAATACTTTTCAACAATTGGGAAACGTTTCTATCGAGGGATATATTTATTATCAACTTATTTCATATTATTTCGACCGTATCGATAGATTAACCATAAAATGATACTCATTAAAGAGAATAACTCAATACGGCAACCAACCAAAATATGCTCTCTCTCTCTCCTTTTTTATGCGATTACTTTATTTGAGAGTGAATCAGAGTAAAGACAAGCTTCTATCTATTGATATTCTAGATGAAATAGTGCAATAACAACGTTGAAACAAGGATAAAACTTTTATCGATAATAATTATCTCTTTATAGACGAGCTATGCCGATTTGCCAATATAAATTGTAATTTATTAATGAATGCCTCATTAAAATAAGATAGAGAGCAGGATAAAGGAATAAATAAAAACTATCTATTCGAATGACTAATGATAATCATTATTAAAGACGATTTCTACTTGTCAACTACAATTGAGAAATAGATTTACTCGAAACAAAATCAATATTAAAATTTGACGATCAATTGTGACTCGATCAAATGTAAAGACTAATTATTTGTTGTAAGAAGTGAATGATTGTCAATGAGAAAATAAGTCTGGATCGTTTATCATATAGAATATTTCGGTGGTGAACTCCTATGCCTTCAGCTAATTAAATAACCTGAACAATGACAAAAATACAATGAATAAAAAAGTGAGGTTTATAGATAAAAATATTCTCCTTATCAGTGATATCCATATGCATCAAAACGGAGTGTTTAGAAAATCTTGTTACTAGATGAGAGTTTTCGAGAGAAGAAATTTCTTTCACAAAAAAAAAAATATAGGAATGAAAATTTCAAGTTGAAATAATTGAAAGTAAATAAGTATATCTATATATTGATTTCTAAGATGAAAATCGTTTTTCTAACATATTAATTCTATCGATGGTAGTCATCTATTGATCAATCTATATATTATATAGAACTTATTTCCATAATCATATTTAAAACAAGAGTAGAAACGTTCAATAAATCTATATACTCGATTATTTTCATAATGAAAAAGAAATATTTGAAAATAAATTCTACTCTATACCTGAATATCTAAATCATAAAATATAGATGAGAATAAATCTCTCAAATAATATAATTGACTATGGACATTTCAATAAGATATTCAAATCAATATTTTTATCGTTTATTTTATTTTTATTATCAATATATAGAATTAGTGACTCTTTTTTTGTTTTTAATAATACATCAATATATACATAACGATCACAACTAGAATTCTTCACTGATAAATATTGATATTTATTGCTTTTTTTCATTTATATTAACATTTGAATTTGTCTAAATCGTTGAATATTTTGTATTCGAGATAGAAAACAAGCCATTAATCACCTTATTTTAATCTAAATTCACACAGTAATCATTTAAACAAAAAGTCCGTTTTATTTATTCTTTTAATCATACCTGTGATCATTCTTTATTTGAATTTTGTTTACTTTAAAATAAATCTGAATAACCAAGAGAATAATCATATCATAAGATGAAATATTTCTTCAATTATTATCATTGAATTAAAGTAAAATAAATATATTTCTTAGTTATTTTTCGATAGATTTCAATGATAAGAAGATAATATAGATATATTTAGTCAATAACCATTTAATATTGTTAAATATTCTTTAAATTTATAGATAATTATATTATAATGAGAACAAATAAGAAATTTTCTTATTTCATAAATGCACTTTTCATTTTGAACGTTCAACAATTTATTTATCATTCTAACATATATCATTAAATAAATAATTATCTTATAATATATATATCCAATATTAATATACAGAGAAATTCTAGATAAAAATTAATTTTCTTAATTATTATTGACATTTTTTTTAAAACTAATAAATTTCAATGAATTTCAAATATATTCATTTTATCTGATAATCATACGAGATAAAACTTTATTATAAATTGAATTTCTTTCATTTCTATTATATATTTTCTAAATAAACATATTTTATTAAATATCATTTTAAAAAAAACTAATAATTCGTGTGTTAAACTGACAACGAATTCATTTGAATTTATTTACATTTTTTAATGTAAATAATAGATAATAATACTTATTATTACAACCGAACAAACTGATAAATTCTAGAAGAATAAATTAAATGGAACAAAAAAGATCTTTATTTATCCATTAAAACCTACTTTAATTAAACCCAGCATTTTTTTCTGTTTCATTTTGTTTTTTTCGTTCTAAAAGATAAAATAGAGAAAAATATATTTTATGTCAAATAAAATCGAACTACTTCTTCTTTATTCTCAATTTCTACAATAATATCATCGATAACAATTTCAGCTTGATATAATCTTTCATTTGTTAATTGATTATTAAGTGAGACATTTTCATTTCTTTCATAAGCTAATTCATTTCTTTCATAATCTAATTCATTTCTTTTATAATCTAATTCATTTCTTAAATTAGTTGATAAACGACGTTCAGATGTAACAGTCGCATTTAAGTTAAGTATTCGTGCAATATAATATCGACGTAGATTGCGACTAATGGCAAGTATATGTTGTTGATGAGAATTAGCATGAGATGGAATATTCTAAACGATTAATTATTTACTTAATCACATTATATAAAACAAGTTAAATATTTACATGCAAAACAAGATAAACCTTTTGAAATTTTTTTTTTTAGAGATCGTGCAAAACATTAGTATCGAAACGGTATATAACTGATGATAACGAAGTATACCTCTGCATTTAATGGCATTAATATACCTCTACCAAGATTCATTTTCAACAATTCAAAACAAAAAAAAGCAAAAATAAATCTAAAGTAATTGATGTAGCATGGAGAAAAGTTAATAAAGAAGAAAATAATAGAAAAATCCGGGTATATCTATCATAGAATTAACTATTAAATAAGTAATAGAAAAAAAAAAAAAACGTTATCTTAACCTTTTCAATGTAACACATGATAAACCAGTTGAGAAAATAAAAATGATAAATGAAAACAAATAAAAAATATAATAGAATATCTTCTTTGTTTTAAAGGATTTCTCTTAAGATTTATTAACAATAGAAGATGAATCAATCAATTATAAACAAGAAGATAGAGGTCGTTCACTATTCAATTTATAAATAATCTTAACAAATAACAAAATTATTATAATTTGTCAAAATATTTAACTGATAGAATATGAAGAGAAAAGTTTAAGATAAAGGATAGAGGCTTCTTGTTTAGTTTAAGCACCGCTCACGCTGATTGGTGTAATTTACACACGCACAGAGCACTGTGTGTGGGTGAGGGCGCTATGATTGAGGTGCTTAAACTAAACATGTACCAGATTGACACAGCCTCCGAAATATTCTGTCTAATTTTTTTTTCTTTGTTCTATATATTATTCCTATTTGATGAAACGTAAATAGTTCAAATATTGATCAACATTTTTTGAAAGTTACTAATGAAATTTTGTTTTGTTTTGTTTTTGAAAGAACTAAATATATTCTATATATGAAATTCGATCATTGAGATTTGTTTTTCTATTGATCAAGAGATGATCATCTGCCTTTCTCACTTATTAACTTGTTCATATTTATTAATGAAATATTGAGAAATTGATTCATCTTATTTATAGGTGAATAGAGATCACTACTCTTTACAAAACGCAATAAGTCTAAAAAAATCGAACACTATAGAAAGAAAAGTTATGTTTATCACTATTTTCCTATAAATAATCATAGATGGATGACATGAAAGTGTTGATTTCGATAGAGAAAAGGGTTATATTCAATAAATTTTTGATGTATAGGTGTCAATGTAGATCAAGTCAATATTTATACCGAGATAGACACCCTCATTTTCTTAATTGATAATAGAGAAATAATATTGATTAGAATTTTTCAATAGATTATACAATTCTATTAGTTATCGGAATAATTATTTTTCTCTTTCTCCTATTATATACTTTTATAATTTACATAAATATAAAAGCTTCAATAATATGTTCGTTATAGATAAACTCTGATGTTTTCTTGAAGTCATCTATAATGACACCTGATCCCTGTCTATCACAATCTGTGGGGTAGGAGTGGAAATTTCTACCCGTAAATACTTCAACAATTGTTTCAGATCGTGTTTGATAAAATAGTTTTTTTGGTGTTATCGTTCAATATTTAAGTTAATCATTTAAAAGTAAAAAACGAATATATTAAATGAAAAAAAAATATTTTCTTATCTTAATGTCTATGATGAATTTATCAAGACTTTTAGTTTATTTAAACAATTTCAAATTTGTGAACATTAGTTGAGTATTACATAAGGTAATATTGCAACAAATCGATATTTTTTCTTGAAAAAAAAAATATTTAGAAAAATGATTAACAAGAAAAAGTACCGCTTTTAAGATGCACAAAATGAAGAAAGATTCGAATAAAATTGAATGATAATTATTGAAAATAGTTAAAGATAATTTGAATAAAATTGTTAAGTTGATAAATAAAAGATAAATATGACTATTGAAATATTCAATATAATCATCATTTTATTATATTAGTCAAGAAGAAAATGAATTTATCGACTTAGATTATACTGCTATTTGGATAAATCAATATAGATATTAATAAATAACGAGACTTTTTCAGTATGATTAAAAGACTTTATTCATAAATAATGTTCAAACAATAGTCAACATTGTTCTAGTGCGAACAGTATTTAGATGATTAAATATTTCAATACAATATAACGAGTGAAATCGTTTAATTATTCATTAAAAAAACAAACAAACAAACAAAGTGATAATTATGTTTCTAATTGAAGTCTGATGAAAAAACGATATTTTATTTTTGAAAAAAAAATCTTCTTAGAAATTCTGAAGAAAAACGTTACCTCAATGTGGAGAACAACTGAGTTTAATCTAGTTGAAAAAGCATTATTTTCTATATTAATACGACTTATAATTTTCATTGGTTATATTCAATCTATAATTAATCTTATTATTTTCTGAGTTAGTCAAAAACGTTCGATCAACTCGATGTTGACTTTATTTTATATTTCCTTCAATTGCTTTTTCCCTTTATTTAAATCTCCTAGGTTTATTGAGACTTATTCAATAAAGATTTTGTTCCCGTAGGATTTTTCTTAAATCTTACCGTCGATGATATATGTTATTAACTGATATTGATATTCTTTTATTAGAATAAAATTATTTATAAAAATAATATTGTTATCATATATAATCAGTATATTAAATCAGCATCGTGTTTTTATCTCGTTCTATTCAAATAAAAATAATATAATTAACATGTTTTTTTTGGATGATTCAATCTATTGATAATATAATTTATTATTATATAGAAATATGATAAAATGTAAAAAATAATATATGTTCAAATCCATAAGGTAGATATTGAATATATCTTAGTTTTAATTCAATAGAAATAAATGGTCTTTAAATGGTATTATTAATGACTATATGGAATTTATTAACAGTTCGAAATTAAAAAAGTAGTCATAATAATAAAAAAAAAATAGTCTTATGATTATATAACGAATGAAGAAAAAAACAAGAATGATTTTGAATTCGAATGATAATTATAAAATGAATATTTAATCTTCTATTATGATTATCAATAAGATTTTATTTATTTTATATCCTTAAGATAATATATTAATAAATAATCATTTTTAATATCTATTTAAATTCAATTTATAATATGTTTACTTTTTTAGAATATATAAATGCACCTCTTATTTATTTGTTTAATTAATTAAATGAATTTGATATGTTTTAGACATTATTTTATATCTACTGATTAACTTCTTATATATATCCTAAATAATTAAATTATCTTATTCTTTATTATTTAAATAAACAAAAACAATATTTTATTAATTATTTAAGAGCATTATTTACTGATATGATGGTTACTTTCATAACATAATTAAGTAATTTACTTCGATTTGTTTAACGAGAAATAAGAAATAATCTACCCATTTCTATTTCAACTTTTTGCTTTTTTCTTATAATTATTAAATATCTCTATAGAACAAATAAATTTTATATCTTCTATAGAATATCAAACAAATTGTTCCAAAACTTTCTTTGTTTTTCTCTTTTTAATAAAAATTTTTTTTTTTTTATTAGTTTTATTCAGATAATATGAAGTTCACTGATTATCTATCGTCCTACGGAGACTAGAAAAAGCTTAGAATGATTCGTAACCATTGCCCTTTCTTTTCGAGTTAGAATTATTTTACTCGCTTTTTTCATCTATTCTAGGACACTAGGGGACAATATTGAAAGAGTTTTTGTTCATAGAAAGGTCTCATAATAGTTCGAATGTAAAAAAAATTTTATCAAAAAAAAATCGTTTCATCCCGAAGATAATGGCTTTTAAAAAAACCTAAGATTTTTTGACTCTTCGGTTAAAATGTCTGCTTTTGTTTTAGAAGAGCATTATCTTGGGAATGAAGAACTCGTTTTCGATGAAACTATTGTCCCCCAGTGTCCTAGAATAGGTGAAAAAAGCGAGTAAAATAACTCGAACTCGAAAAGAAAGAGCAATGATCACGAATCAATCTAGGCTTTTTCTAGTCTCCTTAGGACGATAGATAATCACCGAACTCTTAGTTCAAAATCGATTTAACACTTGGTGAGGTTTCTTCGTTACGTATTTTTCTCTTGGAAACAAAACAAAAGAAGGAATTGTACTATTGATAAAATCTGTCAATTTCAAATATGATCATTCAATAATATAATATAAAATATTTATATTTTATTATATTTATTGACAACAATTTCATTAATTTTATCTTAGTTAATTCAATTTCTCCTTTGTTTTCTCAACAATATTTATAAAAGTATGGACACAAAATTGAGAATTATTTTAATAAATAGTCCTTTTATATAAGAATTTCATCGATTTGTTTTTTATTTTTAAAATTGAACAGGAAAGATTTTAAAGAAAATTTCTTCATCGATTAAATATTTGACTAATCATTTGTGATAGTTAAATTATTCTTCTAGAAAATTTTCTATTTTAAAGAAAATTCTAAGTAGATCATCGAATACTCAATATCTCTTTGAACTAATATAATTCATCTATTATTTTAAATTCTTTTAAGAATATTTCACCCATACCAATTAACAATTAATATTGACAAATATTCTAAGGAAGATCTTAAAAAGATAGATTCGATGCATCTATATTGACTCTAGAAAATAATTCTATAGGATAAATCTCTTCAAACGATTCTTACAAATCAAGATCTTGACTAATAGAAAAAACGTGACATCATTTATTTATTAATTCTTTTTATCTGCTCTTAATTACGGTGAAAAATGTAGGGAGACTTGAAAAACAATCGAATAAAACCTATGAAGAACAAAAACGGAAAGAAAAATGATCATTCAAGAGAATATTTCTATGGTAACGAATCTTTTTTAGACTAATCTTATATAAATTAAAGATATTATTTAATAGATTTTTATTGAAAATAAATCTCGAATAAAATACGTTTGAATTTAACTTTATCAAAATATTCGAATTCTATATTCATAAAAGCAGAATATATCTCTTTTTCTACATTTGAACTCTTATTTTTTATTTCAATGTACATAAATAAACATATATTTAAAACTCTTTAAATTCCATATATATATATATGACGAAGTTTTTTCATAATTAATAAAAGATAAAATTGATAAATGACTAAAACAATGATTTGAGATATAGGAAATAATCTAATCTATGATTTTTGTTGAATTAATAATCAGAATAAAATGAGATTATTTCAATTAAGATGATAATACAACCTAGAATAATTTATGGTAGAAAACAATATATATTCAGAATAAAATAATAAAATCCTTATTAAACAAAATTACTTTTAGAATATATTTTTTCATTCTCTTTATCTTCACATATCACTTTGAACACGATAGAATTTATTAAATTTGTCAATCTAAGGTTTA